CCCGCTTCAATTGACGCATTAGAGGACAACATTGAAGCATTTATGCATGAGATACCGGCCGTAATGTTGGAAAGAGTGAATTGGGCTAAGCGGATGGACCATTTAAGGCGCAGCCACGATCAACATTTGCTTGAAATAAACTTCAAAGATTGAATTATATGGACCAGACTATCGATTCAAATAAAGATTTCATGCATTTTTCCGAATTTTATGTGCTCAATTTTTTTTTGAAAAACTTTTCTTAGTTCTTAAAAATATCACCCTTTATAACAAGCCAAACAGTCACTGCTACATGAATGACACACACATATGTACAAATATATCTATTGATTTCAAAACTCCTGCTTTGTGGTCACGAAAAATGATCTAACCAGTGGCAACAAGCCTCCCGGCTACACAGTTGCATTTCATCAACATATCAACACCTTCGAAATGTAAGGAAAAGTGAGAAATAATTGCCTAACATACAAATCGTTTTTTAGGAGCAAACAAATGTTGTGAATGAATGGTAACCAAAAAAAAAAGACAAGAAAAGCAAAGGTTCAATAAGTAACAAATGTAGTAACAACCGCCTGCTACTACAATAACAACAATAATAACAACAATAATAATAATAATAATAATAATAATGCCAAAATAAATCAACACCATGCTAATTAGTTACCGTTAAAGCCATATGTGCCAGAAAATGAATCACCAAGGGAAAGAGTCGAATAAATAAACAAAAATAAAATTATGCTAATTTAAAAAATAAATAGTAGTAAAAATATAAAATATTTTGTTTTTCTTATTAGTATTATTTTATTATTAGTATTATTATTTTTCTTACTATTTTGCTTTAATTTTGAATGTTTTTTAGAGTCGCACATGGAACGAAATATTGGCTAACCATGTGTTGCTTCTAAAGTAAACCAGGAGTGTAGTTGATTGCGCAAAAATTTTGAGAAAATGTATAAAAATGTACGGACATATGTTATATATATATGTTCGTATATATTTTAATAAAAGTTTTGCTTCAAAATCAAAATATTTTAAAGAGTATTTAATCTTTTTATTATATTTTTATTTTATTGTTATTTTCTTAAGAAGGAACCCAACTCCAATTCGGCAATGCAGTAACAACAAGAACAACCCCAGACATTTACAACATGAGATGCCATCAGCAAATGCCTTTAGTGACCACTTTAGACATATATACATACATATACTAACAAAAATTGAGAAAACCGACGAAAATACAATTTAGTAACCATTAAATAAAAAATATTGCCACACCGCACAATTTTTAAAGGTAAAAAATGCCTTAAAAAGTCCTAAAGAAAAAAATAAATTTTTCGAAATAAAATCAAGCCAGCTGCTGGAAAATTATGAACCAACAAAATAAGCGTACAAGCGAGTGTAGCTAGAAAATGCAATTAAAATAGTAAAACAGCTAAACTAAATAAGTGAATTGAAAAACAAAAACAAAGGCACTACTCGCTAAAGCCCCCCAAAACGGCAACGGTGAAGCCCACTTAAAAGCGATAATCGATAGTGTACGAACAGCAGGCGGGCGACGCGCGCGCAAACAAACGGGCGAATGTCGACGTGTGGCATGTGGCATGTAGCATGTGGCATGCAGCAGTCATAGTGGTTAATATAAATTTTTGCATTGCATTTTAATTTCTTATAAGCAGCATGCTAATATTGCTTTTTTTTATATAATATATACATATTTATATATATGTATTGTACGTTACTCATTTTTTCATACCTTTAACGGTATTTGTATGCAAAATTACTTATAGTTTGCGGTATTTTTTTTTTGCCTATATGTACGTATTTATGTCGTCAGTTTAGTATAGGCACACTGATTGCCGTCACCTAAGTCGACTTTGTTGTTGTTGTTGTTGTTCTTCAGCTATAGCGTGCATGTTAATAGTGTTTTTCGTTTGTTGTTGCCGTTTCATACAGTTGTTGTGAAAAATTCGTAAAGCAATCAGAGCGTTGCTATTGGCTCATTCAAACTGCCGAAATACTCGAAATGAAGGTATGAAAGGCATGCCGATTGCATGTTCAATACATACTTATGTACGTATATATACATGCATATGTCTGTGAATATGTATTTGTATATATTTGTTTGTATTTATGTACATTAACTTGGGCTAAAGTTGGAGAATTTGCTTTGCGGCTTCAATTACCTTAGTTAGCCAAATTGTTTTGTTACCGTTAGATTTTTTCGTCTTTTTATTTTGCTTTGCTTTCATATACATATGTACATACACGTATGTACCATACAAAATAGCAAATATTTGCGAGAATTCTCCATAATCTTTCGTCACCGCGACCCATTTGCTTACAATTAACTTTTACCTCTTTTTTATTTCAATTAAATTTAAGTAAATTCTACATGAGTTTCAATTATGTTTGAAATTTGTATGTGTATAAGGTGTGTAGCTACAATATTCACTTTTTGAAAGAGTTTTCGGAAGGACCTTCGTTTGTGGGCCTACAAAATTCAACTCCTGCAAGAACTGAAGCCGAACGATCATCAAGCGCGTTCGATGTTCGGTGAATGACCCCAAATGAAATGCTCACCGATCCCGAGGTTCAGAAGAACCTTTTTTTCGGCAATAAAGTTGGTTTTTAGTTGCATGTTAATAAAAAAATTGTCTCCAAAAAATTACTGTTTGGTGTGCTTTATGAGCAGACGGAATCATTAGTCAGTTCTTCTGTATAGCCTTCTGCGAAAATGAAGCCGGCCAGAATGTGACAGTAAATGGCCAACACAGTCATGATTAATGACTTTTTTGTGCCTGAATTGGACGGAGCCGATGTGGACCACCTATCCCTCCAACAAGACGACACATAATCATACAGCCATACTGACATACAGCCAACGAAACAACCAATTTATTGAAGGAAACTTTTGGTGAACGCATTATCTCGCGTCGTAATCGACCAATGGGGCCGCGAAGAAATGCGTTTTAGCATCGCTGGCCAGTTTTTTGCGAGGTTATGTGAAGCTGCTTGCTTATGCCGATAAACCTGAAACAATTGACGACTTGGAAGAGAATATTCGGTGCATTATTGTTGACATACGGCGCGAATTGCGGCAAAAAGGGATCGAAATTTGGCTTCAAAACTGGAATTTATTCGAGCCAGCCGCGGCATGCACTTGCCCAAAATAATTTTAGAACAATAATGTCGACCCCTTAATATGTATACTAAAGCTAAATTCTTGGTCAGAACATTAGTTTTGTTTCTTCTTAAGAGCTCAATGTCTAAAAAAAAACACCCATCCATTAATTTTCGAAGAACTAAGGTTCAATCACCCCGCCGGCCCATAAATCGCACCAAACACTTGAGGATGAAGAGACTCTTCAACAATAAATTTTTGGTTTTCAGAGTCCCAGATGCGAAAGTTTTATTTATTGAGGTAGCCATCGAAGTGGAAATGGGCCTCATCAGACCACATGATGCTTCGATTAAATTTTTAGAGCCAATTTTAATAGTATCAATACGTCAAAAACATTTTGAAGAGGCTCAAAAAATTGGCATGTTTTTATGTCTACTAGCATATAAAGTAAAATTCCTGATGAACTTGTGGAACACATCCACGAAACGAGTGTCAATTAGAACTCAAGATTTTGTTCGAATATTTTCGAGCTTGAGCTCGAGCATTTTGAATAAAATCAAAGCGAATTTATAGAAGGTTAAGTTGTCAGATCCTATGATTGCTGGTTCTTCCTCCCATTTCAACACTTCACATAAACAAAATACATGAGAAATAGGTTTTGACATATCGAACGTTCGTTTACATAAACAAAAAATTTTTTTTTTAACTTTTCGAAACTATGATTACATAAAAAAATATATGGGTTTTTTATTTTGGTATTCTTGCTGCTACCGTGTGTGGATTTGCCTTGAATAAAATACTAGACTTTTTTCCCAGAACTTTGTTCTATGATTTTAATTTTATTTATGCAAAGTGTAAATAAAAGTTATTAAAATACTAAAGAGAATTTAATAAAAAAATTTAAATTTTATACAATCATTTGAACAGTTGAGCAACGAATGAGTATCGCGCCAGTATCGAAATGCTCACAGTGCTCGGTACCCTGATATAGAAAGCTCTAATATCATTTATAAATAATTTTTCCATGTTCCCGCATATTTTGGTTTAGAAATTATTGTTATGACTAAAAATAAAATATTCAATATTAATAACAGTTTAAAAATGGGCATTAGATGATACCACAAAAGGCACAGAGCAATTGCGCATTACAATGCTTTCGAAAACCCACACCTCAAGCGAAACTATTCGAAGTTCACGTCTACAATATGACCACCCACAACTCAAATCACAAATTACTGAATCAAATTCGCCATATTTGCTAATTTAATTGAGCGCATCACTCAATCAACTCTCAAGTAATTTACATAAATATAAAAAAAAAATACTCAATGCCCGAATAGCTGTGGGCCTACACTAGAATATCCATAATTGTTAACGAAGACAGAAAAAATCATTCTCATCTCAATATCACTAAAAAAAAAAAACGTTGTAAGTGGAAAATATACAAAAAAAAAAACGCTTGCGCTTAATGATAGACCTTGACATTGACAAGTGAGTGAGCAGGCGCCAAAGCACTCAACAGAATCTTACCTTTTTTGGTTAAACGACTAAAGAGGCGTTTGTCGATTAACACAAGATATGAACATATATACTAATACACCTTAACTTTTCGCCCGCATACTAAAATTAATATAGTTTTGTATTTCTGTTATGACACTTTGACCTTGACAGTAAGTAATTAATAATCTTTTACGCTAGATTTATTACAAATAATGATTAAAACTAATTTTTAAATATGCCTACTGGCTCCGTAGCTAACTAAAAGTATAGTGCGTAACTAATTTATAATACTTAGAAAATTTATGTTAGTATTTTAAGCTAAAAAAAAATTATATTCTCTAAAAAATAAATAATTCTTCTCTAACTAATATATGTACAGTGTCTAGAGTTTTTGGTCGATTGCACTTGAGATCATTAAGTTTAAGAAGGCTGACTAAGCAGCTGTTGTTGGTCTATTAAAGCCAACACTTCCTTCCATCAACAACACACCTAAAAACATTTTAAGCAAAATTATATATCTCCAGACGCCAGCAGCGTTAGAATGAATCCAACAAGTGATGGCAGCCGGTAAACTAATACCAACTTTAAACAAAAACAACAACAATAATAATAACAAAAACAATAGAACGTAAACTAATATTAAGTTTAATAAAAACAATAAACGTTCACAACAATGTTGGTGGCAGGCAGAAAATAATTTGTTTATTGCCAAAATCGTGGCATCAACAGCTATGCTGGATAATTGCGGTAAGTGGTATTTGTAATGGTATGTATGCAATGGAGTAGCTACCACACACCAAATAACAATAATAACAATTTCGAATTTCTCAACTTTATTTGCACACGCATACACGTACATATACACACGTATATATATACAATATAAACAATCATTTGAACAGCCGTTGGCATTAAAAGTGTGCGATGGTTTCATAAAATTACCGTTGCTACCGGCTAATAGCACTTCGTTTGTAAGAACAGCAGCAGCAATAGCAACAACAACAGCAGTAATAGCAACAACAACAGCAACAAGGCTAAATCAATTGTCTGGTGTGAGAAACGGTTTTATTGAATATTTAATGTGGCTTTGGCCATTCATTCTATGTTATTTTAAATAATATTTAATTTGATATTTTTTTTTTGCTATATTAAGTTTGGCTTTTTCAATTTTCTCACACATACACAACTCAATTTAATTTACCATGATTAATGCTTATAATTAAATTTAAACTTTAGCAGTGGCAAGTGGTGTGGCGACACACCTATATAGCCTCAAACCGTTGGCATATCTAACTTGGATATAATTAACAGTTGCTGCCAGAGAAAGAAGCATAATTAAATAAATCAATAAAATGTTAAAATAAATTAAATAATAATAAATAATTACGCTGTTATTAAATTATTAAATAATAAAATTATGTGTTAAAAAATTCTAAATACATAAAATGTATGAATGTGTACTATATTAAATAGAGAATATAAAACATAGAATTCAGAATATAAAATTTAGAATATAGAATAAATAATATAAAATATAGAACATAATATAATAAATATGAAATATAGAATATAGAATATAGAATAAAGGATATAGAATATAGAATATAAAATATGAAATATAAAATATAAAATTTAAAATATAAAACAAAGAATGAATGTATTAAATTTGGAATCTAAAACATAGAATAAAGAATAAAGAATTTAAAATATAGAATATTATATATATATATATATAAAATATGAAACATAGAATATAGAATATAAAATATAGAATTTAGAATATAAAACAAAGAATGTAGAATGTAAAATTTGGAATCTAAAACATAGAATATAGAATATTAAATTTTGAATATAAAGCAAAGAATGCAGAATATAGGATATAAAATTTTCGAATATAAAACATAGAATGTAAATAGAATATAGAATACAGAATAAAAAATTTAGAACATAAAACATAGAATGTGAAATATATTATATAAAATAAAAAATTTGGGTTATAAAACATAGAATGTAAAATATAAAACTTAGAATATAAAATATAGAATAAATAATATTTTATATAAAGTGTAAAATTTAGGTTATAAAACATAGAATGTAGAATATAGAACATAGAATAAAGAATATCAAATTTTGAATATAAAATATAGAAAACTTATAAATTTTAGAATATCAAACATAGAATGTAGAACATAGAGTAAGGGATATATAATATAGAATCTAGAATATATGTAGAATACACATAGGTAAGCAGGTTGGTATGGAACTCAATCAATTTACTTCGAAAACAGTATACAGTAAGCGTTTTTCTTATACCTAGTCATTTAGCTTCACAGTGCTCATGATAGCTGCTATTTCAGACAAATAATCGGTAGCCCCCGAATACTGGAAAAATGAGGGATCGTTTCTTCTTCCTCATCATTCTATCTGTTCGCTTCACCCATCATTTCTTCGTGTTGTCATTTTTCTTAAAGAGCGGTTTTCCTGTCGACTTTCGATCATATTTCGTTGAAATAACATCAAGATATTCACTAAAAATTTGTAGATGAGCTCTGCACTAGATAGTTTTACTGATCTGTATACCGTAATCGGTATCTTTAAGAGCGATTGGTTTATGTTAGATAGCGTTAGAAAGAAGGTATTTTACACTGTAAAAGGTAACATAAGAAGTGTTGATTGCTTAACTCAGTGGTGGTTGAGCGCATGCCGAAGATGAACACCGGCAAGGAGAAAATACGCTTTTGGTAATGAAACATTGAAGTCTTACAGCCACGTCAAATGACATTGGTTACGGTCGATGGGCAGTGAACCCGCACAAACAACCTCCAAGCCAGAAATGACGGCGAGAAGGTCTTCATTGTTTGCTTGGTAGGTTTGTCAAGAAATCATTCACTTTAAGCTGCTCTCCTACGGCAAAACTCTTAATTCTCACCTGCACTGTCAGAAATTGAACCGTCTGAAGAAAGCTATCCCTCAGCAGCAACCAGCTTTGGCGAACGGGTGGAATTTTGTTTTCCCACCAAACACATCGATATGGGCACGCCTGAAGCTCTTCTGTATCCACCTCGCATCAAGTGGATACGAGCTATTCCTGTTTACGACGGAGTATTTGGATGATGAGAAATTGACTAAAAGAGCAGCCAATGAATATTGTTCGAATTGCTTTGTTAATAGGGACCAGGGTGCAAAGTGCAAAGCTTAATGAAATTACCTTCAAAATGGCCAAAAGCTTACAATCAAGACGATTCCTATTTGCCAAAAATGGGATAATTCTTACTGTGCTAACTGTGCCTTCAAAAAAGGGAGAAAATAATGGATTACTTTCTACTAGGCCTACAGTTATACATTTTTATAGGGTGTGTTTTTTGGTTAGGACAAAGAGAGGTCCTACACAGTCATTACAGAATTTTTATAAATTTTAAATTTAGACTGTAGCTCAACAATTTTTTCCTAATTATGTTTGATAAAGAATTATTTGGGGTTTACCCATCATAAACTAAAAATTTGCCTTGAGTTTTTCTGATTTTCTCATTAACGCAAACCTTTAGGGATTATGCTCAGAAGTCCAATTTATCTGCAACTGCATCATTTATTTGATTATTTCTCAGTATTCAATGTCTTCAATAATATTTTTAGAAAATATTTTTTGCCGGCGAGTAAAATAGTAAAAAGTTATGAAAAACACTTATATGTACATATATACAATACAATTACAACAAAAACAACAAAAAATCCAGCTGCAAACATTAACTACAATAAATATTTCTAGTTTATGATTTTCCAATAAATTCAAGGATACTAACAAGGCTAACCAATACAACGCCTATCAGCTTCAAAGTGCTAATACAAAACTATAAATATTTGAAAACCTCCTGAAGCAAAGTAGAAGAGAAACAAAAAAAAATTAAAAACAAAAACGCAAGTAGAAGCCAATTTAGTTTTTCATATGAACATTTTTATAGTTTAAAGAATAAAAAATTATTTGCTTGCCGTCAATGTTAGAATTCGCAAAACAATAAAATTTCAATAATTGCCGATAGATAGGAGCATGTCCATAAATACAATATATGTATGTATGTATGCTGCGCATGGCGAAAATATTTTGAAAAACATATATTGTACATATGTATATTTGTATATACATACATTAGACTTCTACTTGCAAATGTTTACATAAATGAAATCGAAAGTCGGCAACAATTGAACCTTGGTGAGAATTATGAGCGTTTTGATTTTGCCCAAAAACCACAAAATATGAAAATATTAATTAGTTGGTGATATGCCCATAAGGTATACAAGTTATTAATGAAATATTCGTAAACAAATACATTAATTGTTTGTAAAAAATAAAATATAAATAAAACTATTGTAGTACGAAAGCAGAGCTGCCTCTGAGAGTATACCCTTCACGACCAAATCAAATTTTTGGTATTTATTCTCATATCTGAAAATTAGTCAAATGGGGATATATGTTAATATGATGAAGTATTCCGATTTCGATGATTCTTCGCGGCAGTGTTTCTTTTTTTTTTTTGTATATATGTATGTATGTATGTGAAATATCAAATTTTGCACCAATGCTGCTTTGTGAAAAGCAACATACAGTTTTCCTCCATTTAAATCTCCTGGTAAATGCATTATAATGAATTATTAAGATATTAAAGAGTTACATTCTATACCCAAAATTAACGGGATTTTGCATAGTTATATTCTATACCCAAAAAAAGTCAAAAAAACATTTAAAAACCTTAAAATTTTTTCGACAATGAACCCATCATTATTTACCTGCCGCCCAACCAAGCGAGGTGTGCACCTGCAGTATAATCGAAAAATATAATAGACCAGCGTCCGAAAAACAACACAAATTCTGCACTAAATAGCTACAGATTTGCTCATCAGCTACTAGAAAGAAAATGAAAAAAGGGAAGGAAATTTAATTAATTATGAAAAGTTCTCCGCAAGCAAGCTTTGATACAGAAAAGAGTGTTCGAAGAATTAATGCTGGCGTTATGAGTATTAAAAGAGCTGTTCAAACAATGATACAAAAATTTAAAGGCATTCTTATTTTGAACCATTTGACAGTGCTGTTGTGGTTCTTGTTCTTGTAGTACTTGTAGAATGTTGCTGGAGTGACTTGACTGACTTGACCGGATACAGATCCGAATCGTTCCGATAGAAACACTAGACTGCAGCGGGAACTTTTGGATTTTAGCCGACAGCATGCCTGCCGTAAGTTTTGTCGCGGTCAAGTTCTTGAACCACCAACCCGTAGGTTGAAATTTTCGACACTGAATGTGTCTGATGGAAATATGATGTTGACACATTTGAAGTGTTTCTTTTGGGAATTTCTTTATTTTTCGCTTATTACAGATAATTTCAATATCTTCGTAAGCAGCTAAGGCTAATTTACGACTTCAGGTTAATTAATTTAATTTATTTCTCTTTTCTTTCATATATCATTATATACAAAAGCTTTGCTCTGAATGATTGCTGGATAAACGCTCAGCCTCAACCACTGAACAGACCACAAGCCTGGAGAGTGTGTTCTGCGTATGAAGTAGGCTTTCGATGAGAAATAACTTTCCAGCAAGTGGAGCTGGGTCAGAAAATTAAATTTAAATTAAATTTATTTTTAAATCGTTCGATTGACACAAAAAATTTTGATCAGAGATAGAGCTCTTTGCCTAAATTCATACGGGGAACACTTTTTTCCAGAGACTTAACTTCGGATCGAACCATTTAGAAAAGTGGTATTCATGGCTTAAGTTTCTTAATATTTGGAAGAAAGATGGCTATTTTTATAAAGTTGTTGAGTGAAAACTATTTTTTCCTGGAAGTGTATCAGTGATGGAGTTGTTTGATAAAATAGCGGTTTTATTATGAATAAACCCAACAAAAAAAATTAAGCATTCTTAAATTCTATGCGCACGAATTCGCGGGCTAACTTTGGAATTAAAGAAAAATGTTTTGCAAATTTTCCAATGCAAAGAGCTTGAATTTTTCCTAATATCACGAAAACGAAAGAAACACGTTCAACGTCGTTTAGCTATGAAGCCGACTGCGAAG